TTTTTTTTTTTTAATTTTATTTTTTATAAACATATAATATCTTTTTAACCCAGGGATACAGGTCTGTGAATCGCCAGGTTTACACACTTCACAGCACTCGTCATAGCACATACCTTCCCCAGTGTCCATAACCCAACCCTACCCTACCCCCCTACCCCCTTCCCCCGGCAACCCTCAGTTTGTTTTGTGAGATTAAGAGTCTCTTATGGTTTGTCTCCCTCCCGATCCCATCTTGTTTCATTTTTTCCTTCCCTACCCCCCGAACCCCCCACTTTGCTTCGCAACTTCCTCATATCAGGGAGATCATATGATAATTGTCTTTCTTCATCAGTTGTTTTTAAATCTTACTAATTTTGGTTTCTACATGTATCCTTTGTTGTTGTTGTTGTTGTTGTTGTTGTTAGGGTAAGAATGCTAAACATGAGGTCCATCCTTTTGATAATTTTTGTACTATACTATATTGACTCTAGGTACGGTGTTAAATAGCAGATCTCTAGAGCTTGTCTTGCTTAACTGAAGCTTTGTATTCTGTAGACCCTCTTCATGAAAGTTAGACTTTTCACATCCTAGTATTTAGGATTGCAAGTTCCTCTGTAAGACCCTGCTGTCTTTAGGTTCATCTCCAGGATTCTGAGATTTTCCACAACTTGCAGTTACCATAGCCTGATACAGAACAGAAATGGTCACTCGTTTACTGAGCAAATATTATTTCTTTATTGAGGGTCTCCTCTGTATCAAGCACTCATCTGACCCACAGCCACAGTCCCAGTTCATGAATCCATGTTCAGAAGAGCTGAGAGGCCGTTGTGACTGCAGCGTGCTGAGTTCAGTCAGTAGGGATGTCCATGAGATTCGCAAAGCCAGATCATGTGGAACTTTGTCAATCATGATGAGAAATTTGAACTTTATTTTATTTTTAAAGATTTATTTATTTATTTTAGAGAGCATGAGTGTGAGGGGCAGAGGGAGAAGGAGAAAGAATCTCAAGCAGACTCCATACTAAGCACAGAGCTTGATCTCACAACCCGGATATCATGACCTGAGCTGAAACCAAGAGTCGGCTGTCCAACTGACTGCAACACCCAAGCGCCCCTGGGTTTTATTTTAACACGTAGAGGGAAGCTATTAGAAGATTTTAAGTTGGTTGTTCGTTAACAGTCTTATTTGGCAAGTAGCTAAGTACATAACCATTGTTACAAATGTATTCTTTATTCCTTTTCAGATATTATTGTTCATTTCATAAATCCTGATTCTTTCCATGTTTGTAAAGGAGGGGCAGAGATTAGATGTCAGCTGATGGATGGGTACATACATAGATAACTTGGGGAAGTCCATATCCTTTTTTTTCTTTTTGCCCTTCACACAGATTTATTGTGACAAACAGAAAGCACACAATTTGCTTGAATCTACCTCCGACCTAGCAAAGGGTAAAATACTTTTTTTTTTCCATATCCTATTTTAATATGAAGGGGAAAAATGACTGCTGTAGGTCTAGAACAAAGGATGCATCTGAGCTACCACTTTGTATTGGCTTTTTTCATACCTTCTTTTAAAATCAAGTTTCGTCTTAAGGTCTAGAGGGGACAAGTTGCTATTTTTTTCCTATAGCTAGCAGAATTCTAGGCCTTTCCCGCTTATTGAAATCAGAAGCCCATCAATGTCATCTTAATCCGCTTCATTGAATCAAAATACTTTATTGGCAGCTTCTATCATTCTTGATATATTCTTCCATAAAAGACAGAAAGATTACTTGGCTGCCAACTCTTCCGATTTGTCCTGCTTAGATCAAAGCCTTTACAGTACTACTGATGTAATTTCCAGTAAATTATTCTTCCAAGGTTCGTAAATTTAAAGGAAAAATAAGGTCTTGAAAGTGAGCAACATACCTAAGTAATTAATTTTAATTTCTAGCTGGTAACCAGGGTTGTATGTAAAAAAAATAATGAATTAGATTTTCTTTTACCCAGATAATTGGATTCTATATTGAATTAGCAGGGATAAGAAAAGTTTAGGTTTGGAAAAACTTAATAGTCCGCTTTGTAGGTCAGCAGACTATGGCCCGTGGGCCAAGTTTGGCTTGCCACCTGTATCTGTAAATAATGTCTTATTGCAGTAGAACCACATGCATTTAGTAATGGATTGGGTATGGCCGCTTGCACAGTGTAATAGCAAAATTGTGCTTTAGAGTTAAACTTTACAGGAAAGGCCAGCCGCTGACCTACTTGAGTGGAATCTCCCCAGCTGGGAAGAATAGGCTGCTGTTGTGATCTCATAAGCTAATAAGTAGAGGCGAGTGGCGCTTTGGATTAAGCCTGACATGGGAAGAATGGAGTGACAGAGAAGACACCGGCAGGTCTTTAATTCAACAAATGCTTATTGAATGCTTTCTGTCCTCAGGGAAGGAAAAATACAGGCCAGAGATTTCATGCTTAGATGATACTGAGAATGGTGATGATGACACTAATCCAGTCGATGTGGAGCTGGCAGCGGGAGTTCTGATTTCAGGAGCGGGTAGTGGGTATGATGAATAGGAATTTGAGTAGACACTGGCGACAGATGGTAATAGAGAACTGGAACTTGGATGTGATGGCAAACCTGGAGGCAAATTAGAGGAGCATCAGATTTTTTAAAGTCTGTAAAGAGCTGAAGGGGAAAGACTGAGTTGCAGGAACATTTACCCATAGAAAGTGGAAGTAAGAAAAATGATCTTTTTTTTTTTTTAAAGATTTGATTTATTTATTTGACAGAGATCACAAGTAGGTAGAGAGGCAGGCAGAGAGAGGAGGAAGCAGGATCCCTGCTGAGCAGAGAGCCCAATGCGGGGCTCGATCCCTGGAGGCTTAACCCACTGAGCCACCCGGGTGCCCCCAAAAAAATGATCTTGAATAAGAATGGAGAGTTAGAGAGTGCCTGGGTGGCTCAGTACTTAAGCAGCTGCCTTCGGCTGGGGTCATGATCCCAGGGTCCTGGGATTGAGCCCCACATCAGGCTCCCTGCTCAGTAGGAGACCTGCTTCTCCCCCCTCACTCCCCTGCTTGTGTTCCCTCTCTCACTGTCTCTCTCCCTGTCAAATAAATAAAATCTTAAAAAAAAAAAAAAAAAAAGGAAGAGTTAGAGAATTGACGCCCACAAAAATATAGTATCCCAAATGGAAGGAGAGAGGTAGCTTTCACTGAGCAGAACATCTCAGTATTAATTTTTCTGATTGATCTGATATTCAACAACATACTGAATTCTTATATTCTGATATTTATCTATTGATGGTGATATTATCTGCAAAGAAGTAACAGTTTTGTCACTTTTCTTCCAATCCTGTTTTCTTTTCTTTCTTTGTTCCTGTCTTACCAACTACAGACTGTAGTCCCAAGTAGAAGTGTTGATAGTGACAGCCTTGTCTGTACTAGATTTTAGAGGGAATGCTTTTGTAGCTTCTTCATTAGATAGCTGGCTTACTCCTTGTTTTAGCTAGCAAGGTAAGGAGTTTCTCCTCTGTTCCCAGTTTTCTGATTTTTAAAGACCAAATGTAGATGTTGTACTTTACCAAATGCTTTTTTTGAGTCTGTAAGATGATCATGTGATATTTTTCCTTTAGACCAGTAATGTAGTGAATTACAATATTAGCTTCTCTTATATTTAACTGTCCTTGTAGTCTTGGGATAAGCCGTATTTGATCTCAATGTATTCTTTTTAAAACACTCCTGGAATAGATTGGTAAGTATGTCTGCATTAGTGATTTTCTTCAAAGAATAAGTTTTTGCTTTTGATCGTTGTATTTTTATTCTCTCTTCTGCCCTTTATTATTTCCTTCCTCCCATCTTTGGGTTTACTCTGTTGCTTTTCTTTTAAAACTTACCTTATTTGTTTCCATCCTTCTGTGCTTTTCAGTAAGTATACTTAAAGCTATCAGTTTCTCTCTTGGTATCATTTAACTCTGTTAAATTGTTGATACATGGTGCTCTGTCATTCATCTCTAAGTATATCATAATTTCCTTCATAATGTTCATAATTTAAGTAGCCAAAGTTTGTTTTATAGTGCTTGTCTCTTTGTTTCTAGTCCATCAAATATGATTAGACTTAGGATTAGATGAGAGACATTTTTCAAGTCATACTTAAATGTTTCTGAATTTCTTTCTCCCTTTCCTCTCCTTTTCTTAATTCCTTCTCCCTTCCCTCCTTCCTTCCTTCCTTCTTGCCTGCATTTGGATAAGAGTTTACTAATTCATTGAAGTTACATTGAAACACTGTTTTTTTAAGTGTCCTGTGTATGTTGGAAAAGACTGTATTCACTGTTGAATGAAAATTTTTCTATATGTATTTACTCATTTGAGTTTATTGTGTTATTCTGGTCTTTCATATCTTTGTTTAGCTTCCAGTTTCTGAAAGGATGTGTTGTTTGTTGATTAGTTTCTCCGTGTACTTTCACCAGTTTTTATTTCTTCTATTTTTAAGCTGTGTAGTCAGAGGTATATATGTTCATGATCATTATGTTTTATCAGGTTGCT